AACTAAGACGCTGCATGGGAGAAACGCAGTATCCGTGAAATCTCGCAGTGGACAAGTTATGCCTGGTCGATTTGCTTATGCAATAAATGGCAGATTTATAAATATTCTGTAACTCGTATATATGTTGTTACCTTGCTATACATATTATTATTACAAAGTACCGAAAACATGTCTAAAAACAGGGCTTGGTTAGGCACAAATAGCGTTCTATTCGGTGACTGACCCATATAACAGATATGTCACGGACTTATTTCAAAGCAGATGAGTGGAAAACGTCGGCTATTGTGCCGATCATCTTATAGCATTTAGAGCCTTCGATCCATGCTGTCGATTTTTATTAAAAGGATTATCCAATCTGCGCACAGTTCATATTCCCTGTTGCGGTTAATACCTTCGCACGACCAGGTGGTTAATCTCTAATAGACAACAACTTTCATCTAATTTCCTTCATTGACGATGCTGACGCAGCCTGACTACTATGGATATCTCGCTAAGCAACTCCAAAATTCTTTTCACGTTGGAAGATTCTTCGATGGGGGTTAGACATCAGTGGTATAACGTTCAATGTATACAATTGGTTGTATTAGAATGGCCTTGGTGGAATAATGTTAATAAACTTTTATAAATTTGCCTATTATGGCATGGATCTGAATGGGATTATGTTTATGCTTATCTAAAAGGTGTCTATAAGACTTTAATGAAGGTCGCGGTGCCATCAAATCTTAGCACTTGCTATGAGCCATGAAGATCGTGTAAACTACCAAAGTTTACTGTCAGTATACCTGTATAATGACCCGCATCGGGAGAGTCTCCATGATGGTTGCAAGTGGCAAACAGGTCGTAGACGTTATTGTTTTCCCTCGAGTTCGAATAGAGCTTACCAAACCTAAAACGATCAGTACCGTAACTATTAGGTCAAACGTTACACGCTAATGCTGGTAACAGGGGTCAGGGCTTCTTACGCCTTTTAAAATAGTTCCGGCTGGGCTGGAAGAACAAAACCCAGACAGTAAATCCGGGCAGAAAGAATGGGAGCCATCGTCCGCATTACTTCCGTAAGGCAGCACGTTTGATCATGTCGTCTACCTTCTAAATTGAGGAATACGACTTACGGGCATGGAAAATACATACTGGCATTTGTCATATGCATGTAAATACGTGACAAAAGACGTAAATTATGCTTATATGGATAAAAAACATAAAAAATCTGTGATAAAATAGCACTTGATTCAGTCAGCGTAAAATTTACATCAACATCAATACACGTTCTCCTAAATGCAAGTGATCTATCTTATTTTTCAGAATTTAGGTCAAATCCGAAAACTAAGCAATCGCCGCAATATAAAAGGACCTTACCCAGATTTTCCGAAAGACGAAATCCTGCCCGCCTGTTTATAAGCGTCCTTGTAATCACTATTCTGATTCGTGAACTGATTCAAATTAAGGTCCGTCAAGGGAAATTCTACCCGCGCATCCAACTTTATCAGATGCGTCGAATCGGCCTGAAAGTAAACATAATCATATCTCTAAACGACAGGAAACATAATATGTAACCAATAACTATTACTTTTAGTAACAAAATGTCACAACATGAGTTTCTAAGCCACAAACGGGAGGGCTGGGGGCAAAGTAAGGCCCTAACCTCTTAGAAACGACTGCTTGGTCAACAGGAACAAGAACCGACGCCAAAACACAACCTACCGTAATTTGGAGGATTTAATTAAATCGGCTGTCACTACTGCTTTTATCAGCTGTTGATATTATCAGTTAATCAAAGTTAATTAGTTTATGAAACTCGTACTGTCACTGGCACATTTCACTATTTCACATATTTGAAACGTGCGAAACTATTATTTTACATACACAACATCAAGCTCTCAGAATTATTGCACATTAATCAACCCTCGCATTTTTCCGCGTAAGTACGTGAAAATTACAGTTTTCCGTCCCACTAGGTCACTCAGGATTTCGACAAAAACCACATAAGTGAATGGTTGTACAGGTAGATTTTGGCCTACGCTGTGTAACTGTTTCCGGTAGAAGCATGTTGTAAACAAACCTATACCAACTTTACGTGCAGTCAATGACACCATTTGTCAAACAACCAGCGTGCAAAACGACCACTTTTGATTCCTTTGAACCACGTTGCCAGGCTACTTGTTTCGCTGAATACCGACTGCCACGCAACTTTAGAATTTCATCAGATACATAAACTTGCCTCCATCTAGTTCAATGTCCAATGGTGTTCCCTGCTGCCAATATCTTTGGGCTAATCGTATTTTTGTCAATGTATGAAACTGGAGATGCGACCTTTCCACAGTCTTCTATCAAAGATTTAACTTGTCGCTGATACTGGGCACTTTTATTCGTCATCCTTAACCTCATAACATCTAGCATGACGAATTTAACGGCGGCCGTAGCTGCTGCTACTTTGAAAAGCGGGTCAGCAACAATGAAGTTGTGGTTACTTTAGATGCCGGCGTTACGTCAAACAAAGAGCTGTCCAGAAGTGTCTGACCAAATTATGACTGACCTGGGTTCGAGTTTTCCTGTCAGATGAAATAAACATCAACTGGTGGATCTTTTTACGTGAAAATGTGCTTGCTGTGCGTTTGTTAAGATCATTACCCTAAGCCGTTTGTGATGTCCGCTGTTCCGCTGTATCTATAGGAATTCAACAATTTAGCAATAAGGCACTGGTTACGGTATCGTAGAAGGAAATATTCCTCTCCGAAAGCAGATCTACCTCTACCCCATTTTTCCATATTGCATGCTCGCCTCCTGCTCGACAATGGCTGTCTTTCGGCTTTCACACAAAAAGCTCATAGGTTGGAGTAAATAGTGTAAACTCAACCAACTAATCTAACAGATCCACTTCCATTTCTTAATCTCGACATCGATCGAGATTACCTATAGTCGATAGAGATTAGTCATTACTTACGAGCTCCTGATATCTAGTCCTGATTATGCGTAGATGCCAAAACCTGCTGTATACACTTCAATATTCATTCTTGTTTCTTTCTTAGAACAACTGTGTTCATGCGATACGACAATACTGACCTGAAACAGGCAAGGTGCGGGCAGAGTTTCGTGGGAAAAGTAACTCCTCCCAGCCCAGTTATTGGACAAGTTTTCAAAGCACTCGAAGACGGGGTGCCTCCTTTCAGTTAATTCTGGCTGGATGGTTCTGAAGATGAAGGAGCTGAGACACTCAAAGTGAACAACTTCCTGAAGAGCTTTATCGCCCTGTTTAACTTGCAGATCAGTTCTGCCAGATTTTGAATTTGAGGTTTTAAGGAAAAGGCCGGCTTCCTGAAATCCTCACAAAAACAATATCATCTGCGTAATTAAGATAAGCAAGATATCACGCCGAATTTCTTGAACTGCGTCTATCCTCTCTGAATGAGAATGAGGCATTCCTCTCTGTCAAGATCAACACTTTCTTAAGGAAGAAAATCTCGGACAGCTTTGAATAGCGAATATGAAAGCATATCACGGAGAGCTAAACAATATATAGGGAATCATGCACATAGCTCGCCATTAACTTTTACAGCAGACATGACGCCTAAGTACATCACTTTCAAAAAGGAAACCATGTGCTCAGGCATCCCATGACTGTTCACAACCTTCCATATCGTTGGAAGATGCAGGATTACATTTGAGGAAATTGGCAAAACAATGCAAATGAAGTCGTTGGCTTTGTTTAAAGATCTATGCAGAATGAAAATTTGGTTATCTATCGTATTGTCCCACAGTTTCAGCATATACCTATGTTGTCTTCAGCATGTGGTCTTCGAAATAAAATGAATATGGTACAAAAGAGCAATCTAATATATATTATAACTACTCAAGCAGGTTACGGCTGCATGATATTTGAGAACCAGAAGTGTCAGAAGCATTTCACGTGTTTTTGACTGCTACAGTCACCTCGCAATTGAACGCCTTATGCAACTGCAATAGTTTTATTTTAATTTCATGTCTTTGGTTGTCGCAATTTCAGTACCACATTATCAAGTTAACAATTCGTACAGCACTAATCAAAACATACAGAACACGATAATAATATTGTTAAATTTCCCTTCAGGTACTGAACGAAGTTTTACATGTGACATTAAAATTTTCTAATTTACAAGACTAATTTACATAATTACATGTAACAGAAATTTTCGCTGTAAAATCGCTGACCTGCTTAAAGCGCTGGAGATGAAATATGAGGACGTCAGGTAGCCAACAGAAAAGGATACGCTTTTCAGCTTCCTCTTTGTACTCACGGCACCCGGGACAGTACCATGGCAGTATCTCTGGCTTTGTGTACCTGGTGATGCAGTCGATCAACGTCTGCGTACTGGAAGTGCCAATGCCTTGTTTCATGACCACTGCGCTTTGGTGTTCGGCTACCGGATCTTCGTCGCAAACGACGAATCTAAAATTACCATTCAAAACACAATGGCGACGAATACCAATCGAGAGACAACTACTTATTATTAAATCAAGGGGACGAAAGCGACGGTAATGCATAACAAGTGCGGACGGGGAAGATGTTCATTTATTTGGGGAATGAAGACAGTAGCAGCATAACGTCCTACTGCCGTTGTTCAAATAATGGAACGGACATAAAAATATTTGAAAGAGATCACTGTAATTGTCGTGCCCATGTGGCAAGATCAGCTGTGTCGTTTACGCACATGTGCCATATTTTTGAAGTCAACGCCGCTAACCCTATCCTATTGTGTTAAATTGTGTCTTACGTTATTCTCGTCATATAGTGGTATACTCAGAAGGAACAATTCGTACCCATCATATATCAACTGCAAGTTCAATTGAGCAACTCAAAATTCAAAAAGTAAAAACATCACAACAAATATTAACGCCGTATCATACGCTTCAGGAAAGAACGGTGTTAGAAATGAAGTTAATCAGAGAAATGCAATGAAGGATATTTCAAAAATGAAAACAGTTTTTCGTTAGTTCAGCTGTTAAGTTACAAGAACATAGCACTTGTACATATCTGCTATAATTCATAGTACCAATTTACTAAACTGAGCGCAGTATAGTGTATAGTCTGGGAAGCAGGTGTAGCACTCGCACAGTATTCCCAACCCTGCAACTTTTCGGTCGTTAAGTTCTGGACGTTCGTGGAAACATTATCGCGATGACTTCACACTGAACGAAAAATTCACCTCATCGTTACTGAGCAGAATAAGCCAAAAAAACAGGCAGCAGACTGCTGACCTGCGAATAATAGAGAGAGTGGGTCTTCGGTGTGGTCATATTGAGCGTGAGGGAAAAATACAGCAACGTCTAATGCACACTTCACGGTTGCATTTTGCCCTGACCCACCTGAGAACAGACTACAAATCAGTGTAAACGCAAATCCAAAAAATTGCGAAAACTGATCAATCAAAGGAGAACTCACTTCTGTTTCACATGCTCTGGCCACAGCAAATGGACCATGATTCGATTAGAACCCGGACCGTTGAATTTCTGCATAAGAATGCTAAAAACCAAGTGACCATGACAAAATCTTTTCGAAATCTACAAAGGCTGCGAGAGAAACTACCTGTCCACTACTTCTACGTAAAACGGCAGGGCGACGTCTGGAGGGATGTACCGAGATTCGTTACACTCGTCCAAAATAAACAAATCGAGCATTTTCAAAAGTACAATCTGAGGTGAAAAACCAATTAACACGGCGTAAGCAAAAAAGGCGGTCTTATAATCGGTCGCCATTCTCTTTACCTGCAGATGAACATTGCTTTTCAAGCTGAGGTGGGTTTCTTTCAGGATTAGCATCAAAAGCTCGTCGTACGGTATGTCTCGCTGAACATTCACAACAAACGGACCACCAAACCTAAGAGAGAAACTGCATTCATAACAGAATTATAGTAAACAAGTGAGGAGAAAATATATTAGATGATGGATTGAATCCGCAAAACCAAGCAGCAGAGGGCGACCAAAGGACTGACTGACTGAAATATGATTAGAGTAGTTTCTATATTATAAAATAGTGCTCGTAGCGATCGACGATTTGCATACGACCGATATCACAAAAATAGTTCTCGGTACTACCGTCCTACCTCACTGCCTTGAACGAGACAGAGACGTTCAAAACTGAATGAATGACAAAACGGCTGAACGAAAAACTTAATGACTTGATGGATCAACGAACAACTAACCGAATGATCAAATTACAGAACTAATGAACGAATGAATGAAGAAATGAAACTATCAAAAAGTGTAAAAGTGAATTAGCTAAAGGGAATCGATAAAAGTCTAGCAAACAACTGCGTTGATGGCTACGGTAAATACGATTATGACAAGATAGATGCTAAAGCATATTAGGCCTTATGAATTTCAGTTACTTACAGAAACCTTAATTTGTAAACACGCATGGCTATGATAGTGGTAAACAAAAGCAAACATCGAAGAACAAAGCTTAGAAGTATACCGTACTACCTACCGTCTGAACGGCTTGCTTCGATCAGAAAACTGCACAATATTACACACGATCAGTATAAGCTCTTCGCCATAAGGGGTGCCTGCAGGCAAAGTCGGTAACTCCATGGCGTAAACGCAATTCACTGGCCCAAGCACATGTATCTCTTCCGTGATTCCGTATGAGCAAGCGAAACCGTATTCGTTGATCTGATAAAACTCCACCTTAAAGAAAGTATAATTAAGATTTCGAACGAGATAAAAAGAGAGCGAGAAAAACCATGGGAATACTAGTTGGAACTACACACACCTGTGTTCACTTAATTCAATATACATCTATATATGAATCTTCCACTCATACAACAATCTGCACTTTTCAATAGCCATCTACTCCATATCTTTAACTACAAATAAATCAGTCAGATTATCCATGCATCTATCTATGCATCTAATCAATTTATCCACTAACTTATTTACCAATCATTTCACCAATTTATCAATTTCTCACGCACCTATCTGTCTGTTTGTATATCTATCCATCAGCCTAGGCATTCATACAATCATTCAACCAACTAAGGATAAAACTGTTTAACAATTTAAATCCACCTGTCGGTGTTACTGCCCAAAGTGCTAATCCGCACATAAAGATGGGATGATTTGTGCAGGCTGATTTTAGTTCGCAGTTCAATTCAAACGGATAACCTGTCGGTTTTACCGCATAAATCGCCTAACCTCCTGGTTAGACCATAATGAAACCGTAAAGATAAACCTGGAGGAAAGAGTGTAGAAGCTCAGCTTTTAATCAGATGGTTGTTTAATACCTCCTTGCAACGTATACTTCGTGAGCGATTAATCGGAACGTTATTGGAAAAGATGTGGCAAATATCCCCTTCGCAATTCTCTAACCAAAAGTATTCTTGAGGCTTTTCTACAATTTTGCGACTCTGATATTCAGAGCATCGTACTGGAAATTTCTTAAAATCCGGAATCTCACGTCGTATCCTCACCTTGTATAAATAAGCCTGATGTCTACCGCGGCGTAGAAATGCACAAAATACCGTTCAAGCTTACCTCGCTACGTCTGCTTAAACACCCTGAAAAATAGAGCTCCCTACCACACAAAGTTTGTCATCGACCCTGAAAGTTTCATGTTTGTCATGTAACACTTTCCCATACTTTCCGTTGTATTTTCGCCATAAGCATACCTTGTGACCTTGCTGAAAACCTATATTTTACTGAAATAAAGATTATTCTTCGTCACATAAAATGTAAATTCAAAACTTGGTGTAGAAATACAAATCAACAATTGAACATCTTGGTTAATGACGATGTCAACCAGGCACACACAGCATATCATTATGTGCAGCTGCGAGGACAGTATTATTCTCAATTGGATTTTAGTGACTAGACTACTGGACTTTCAGTAACTGACAAAAACAAGTCAACTGATTCTGATAGAAAGTTTCTTGTGACATATGGAAAGAAATGCCTTTGGTTTGTTCGAGCTTCCCAGGCAAAAGTGCATAAAATTATACACTGAATCTTGTTTTCTGCCACTTTTATTAATCCTGATCCAACGAATTTCTTCAATTCATCCTGCTCTCGATCTGGACGTATTCCTACGGGCCGTTTATTTATTCGCTCTTTGAATACAATCTAATATCGCTCTAGTCCAACGATGATCAGATTTATTTGCAACTGCCCATTATCTTTGTTTCTGTCCTTATCCATTCATTAGTCCTTCTATTTCGAATTCTTATATGCATATCTGCCTATATATTTAGTAGCCTACGCATTTATGAAATCTTCAGTTAGTATTAAGTCAATCAATCAGCCAGTCACGTTGTCTGTCTGTCTGTCTCGACGTTCACGTAACCATATATGCATCAATCCGTCAGTTTATCTATATCCATTCGTGTATCCATCGATTCCTCTATGATTCTTCTAACTGAGCATTTTTCTACCTGTCTGTCAGCGTTTACTTATTTTCGGAACTTCATCTTCCCAATAACATGAATTCCAATAGAGGAATAACGTGTCCCACTTTACAACTTCGTGATGCTGAGTTCGTGACTCGCACTAGCACCTGTGTTTGAATGCACTGAGTCCAGGTCGCGTTCTGCTGTAGTACTTATGTCGAGAGTCGAGAGTAACCGAATCAGTATGTATTCGGTATAAAAAGACAGAGAATTAGCATACAACAGTAATGGATTTTGAGGACGTAACATCGGCATTTACCTCAGAGTTCGAAAGACCGGTGATTTCGTCCAAACATTCCTTCACCTGCTGGAAAGTAGCTGTAGTTTCGGCGTTCACGCCATAGCAGATTTGCTGCGGCTTCCGGAACAAGAATGCGACGACAACGAACAAAGGCTTTTTTGATCTGCAACATGACTGGCGTTACGAACGGAAGAAAACG